AGAAATTATACTTTTAGAGGGATTGGTGAGCCCAAGATCTACTTCCCCACCTGTTTTCCACGACTGCCCCCCACACAAAAAAATCTGAAGAAAAGCCTGGCCTTAAAAACAACACCACTTAAGTTTCTCTTTTTAATTTTTTGGGTTTTTGGTTAATTTTAAGTGTCCAACCTTCTTTATTTTATTTTTGAGACAAGGGTCTTGCTCTGTCACCTAGGCTGGAGTGCAGTGGGCCATAGTCAGGCCTCACTGCCAGCTTTGAACCCCTGAGCTCAGAAAGTGATCCTGTCCTCAGCTCCTGAGTAGACAGGACTACAGTCCATAGACTGTAGCCAGCCCTACGCCTGACTAATTAAAAAAAATTGTTTTTTTTTTGTAGAGACAGGGTCTCCTATGTTTGCCCAGGCCTGGATCTCTGAACGTACCCAGGCCTCCAGCCCATCCTCCCAGCCACTCCACCCTCCCAAAGTGCTGGGAAATTTTAGGTGTGAAGATACCATAAAGCAAACAAAGTCCACTTAATAAAAAAAAAATGGAAGTCCAACAGCCTGGGCGCCGGTGGGCTCATGCCATGTAATCCTTAGCACTTTGGGGAGCCAAAGGCGGGTAAGAGTTGCCGTGAGCTCCAGGAGTGAAACCTCATCTCTACTAAAAATACAAAAATTAACCCAGGCAATGGCCAAGCAGCTACTCGGGAAAGGCCTGAGGTAAGGAAGAATTGCTTGAACCCAGAGGTGGCGGGCTGGCCATGAGCCAAGATCGGGCCCCACTGCACGTCCCATGCCTAGGGAGACAGAGTGCGACTAGATCTCCCCATTAAGAAAAAAAAAAAGTCAATAATACACACACACACCACGCACAACCACCATAAGATGCTGGGCGCAGTGGCTCACGCCTGTAATCCCAGCACTTTGGGAGGCCCAGGCGGGCGGATCACCTGAGGTTGGGAATTTGAGACCAGCCTGACCAACATGGAGAAACCCCATCTCTCTACCAAAAATACAAAATTAGCTGGGCATGCCTGTAATCCCAGCTACTCACAAGGCTGAGGCAGGAGAATCGCTTGAACCTGGGAGGCAGAGGTTGCGGTGAGCCGAGATCGTGCCATTGCATTCCAGCCTGGGCAACGTGAGTGAAACTCCGTCTCAAAAAACAAAAAACTGTTTTACATATTCTTCATCCTGATGCTGAGGATGGCAAATTTAAAGGCTATTTTGTAATCGTCTGTTCAACAACTGTTTAGTCAGTTTTATTATACTACCAAAGCCTTGCAGCATAACTTTTTTTTCCATGTTTTTCAAAAAGTAATTTTTATTTTATTCATTCATTTATTTATTTATTTGAGATGAAGTCTCCCTCTGTTGCCCAGGCCTGGAGTGCAGTAGTTCAGTCTCAGCTCATGGCAACTTCCATCTCCCAGGTTCAAGCGATTCTCTTGCCTCAGCCTCCCAAGTAGCTGGGATTACAATAAGCGCCTGCCACCACACCCAGCTAACTTTTGTATTTTTAGTAGAGTCAGGGTTTCACCCCATTGGCCAGGCTGGTCTTGAACTCCTGATCTCAAGTGATCCACCCGTCTTGGCCTCCCAAAGTACTGGGATTACAGGTACGAATGAAAAAGTAATTTTTAAATCACATTTCTGGAGTTCTAAGTCATGATTTTGGTTGGAACAGTATAAATGATAACTGTTTCCAGACAAAACCGATGGATCCTAAAAGCTTTCCCCCTTTTGTGTAAAGACTTCTTTATACATTTATCAACAGTACTAAAAATACCAGAGGGAGGACAGCCAGTTCTGTACACAGCACAGCACTTGCTGGGAAGTCAGAAGTGCTAACTCTTGGCTCTGTCTCCTTCTCAGGGAAGGGCTTAGGGACATCCCTTTGGCCATCCAGCAATGAACCATGCAAAGCTCTTTTTTGCCCTCATCCTCCACTTCCCAGGCCCTTCTGAGGAGGCGCCTGAGAGAGGAGACAAAATGCCAAAAACCGCTCCCTTGCGGACAGGAACGACAGGAATAGGATGCAGTGTTGTCATAAGCCGGGGGAGTCCTTACCCTGGAACTGTGCCGCCCCGAGAATTCTGAGCAAACCATGAAGCCAGCTTGGAAAAGGTGCTCCCAGGAACAGAGATTGAGTAAGGCACCAAAGCAGGAAGCCATTCCACAGCACTGAGATGATATAAAAGTGGGAAAAATATCTGCAAAAGGAAAACAAGTGAGGCAATAATTAGGTTAAATCCACTTTAAGCTGTTATATGGGAAGATTATTTTTAGTTTCTCTGTCTTTCCCTACCCCTCCATTCCCAAAGTATACTTTTGCTTTTTAATAGAATCCGAATCCTGTAGGTGTTCAGATTTTTAAAATTTCCTTTCAAATAATGGGACCAGTTAACTTTCAGGAAAAAGAGGCCTCTCTGAGGTTAACAAGAACGCAACCGACTGTGTTAAACTTAGAAGAAAGTTTAGTTAGCAATCTCTCAGATTGCTGGGTAACAGAATTGGGTTCAAGTTCCCAAAACGGAGGCTGCAGGTCCTTGCAAAGAGAACCTAGATTGTGCTAAAACAAGCTAAATCTGTGAAAGATTTTGATTTCTATATCCCAAACAATATTGCAGTAATAGCCATACAACTGCTACACACGATTTGCATAATCACAGACACTTGGGGCTAGAGGAAGTAAAAGATCTTTAGGCATGACTCAGTGTTTTTCCAAATTAGGTTGACCTAAATTACTTTTATTATACCATGACTAATACTACAATCATAAAACTAGGTATTAACTCCTTATGGTTATAATTCTCAGACAACTATAGGGCCTGTTTTGCAATCAACACATCTACAAACTAAATACAAACAGGACCACAAAACCAATGCAATTGAAATTAGCAATGTTAATTTAATGTGAAAGACGATGTTGATTTGCTGAAACAAAAAAATCACCCTATATGGCACAAGGGCCTAGGGCCTAGCAGGTTCTTCTTTTTTTTTTTTTTTTCTTTTGAGACAGGGTCTTGCTGTGTCGTCCAGGCTGGAGTGCAGTGTCGTGATCACAGTTCACTGCAACATTGACCTCCCAGGCTCAAGTGATCCTCACACCTCAGCTTTCCAAGTAGCTGGGACCACAGGCGTGTAGTAGTCCACCATGCCTGGCTAACTTTTAAATTTTTTATAGAGATGCGATCTCCCTACGTTGCCCAGGCTGGTCTCAAACTCCTGGGCTCAAGAGATCCCTCCCACATTGGCTTCCCAAAGTGCTGGGATTACAGGTGTGAGCCACCATGTCCAGCCCCTCATGGGTTCTTTTGAGGTCTGTTTATGTATACTTTTCTATTTTTTTCTATTCATTCTGAAATCTTTCTGACTCTATAGAGTGCCTGGCGGTCATCTGGCTTTCCCTGGTCTTCAATGCATCGTGTATATATTAAATCCCACTCCTTTTTTCTTTTTCTCATTAGTCTATGACAATAAAAGACAACCTGGCGCCAAAAGAGGATTAAACATAATCTCAGGGGCTCCTCTAGATGATCCAGAATATGCTTGTAAGAGAATGCACAGCCCCTGAGATCATGCCTACACACTCAGTCTGATAAACTCTGATCCAACCTGATCATTCCATGGCAACCCACTCCACTCTGCCAATTACTGTTAGCAAATTCTATCACTGGCCAGGCATGGTGACTCATGCCTGTAATCCCAGGGCTTTGGGAGGCCAAAGTGAGAGGATCCCTTGAGGCCAGGAGTTTGAGGTTATAGTGAGCTATGATCCTGCTTCTGCACTGCAGCCTGGGCAATAGAGCAAGACCCTGTGTCTTAAAAAATAAATAAATAAAATTCTACCACTGGATTTGCCATCTCTGGCTACACAGAACAAGAATTTTATTTCCACACAACAGCTCTTAAACTATTTGAAGAGAGCCATCCTGTGATTCCCAATTGGGATCTTCTCCAGGCTCAAGAGCCTACTTTTCACAGAAGTTCACGCATCAAGGTCAATCGCCACCCGTGGCTACTGATCTTCAGTTATACCACAGGGTCTTCCTTAAGATACGCTTCCCACAACTGACCCCAGGTATGGGCTGAGCTTCGTGGAGCAGAGTGGAAGGTCAAGAACATGCTATTCTGCAGGAAAGGCAGGAGGGACAGCTTCTGAAGGACAATTTCTCGACCAGCCACTTTACCTACTTAATTTTTTCACAAATATTTACTGAGCACTTCGAATGTGTTGGGCAATATTCTAGAAGCTGGGGACTCGGCAGGGAGTAAACAGACCAGGTCTCTGCCTTGATGGAGTTTACCTTACGGTGGAGAGTCAGACAGTCAACAACTAAACCTGCAGACATCTAGCATAACGCTGGGTCAGGGGACAGAGGGTGCAGAGGGGAGGCTGTTCTGGATGGGTGGTCAAGGATAGCTTCTCTGGAAGTGACATTTGGCTAGAAGGAGTCATCTTTTTGGATTTCCAGGGGAAAAACTTTCTAGGCAGAAGAAATAACAACTGCAAAGGCAATGAGGTGGGTGTATATTAGCGGTGTTCAAGGAACATTAAAAGACATCTGTGCAGCTGCTGTGGCATGGCCAACGGTGAGCGTAGAAGGTGAGGCAGGAGTGGGGAGAGGACATGAAGCCCTGTAAGGCCACTAGTTTTTATAATGAGGAGCCATTTGGGCAGAGGAGTGACTTGAGGTAGTAATTTACGTTTTTAAAAAATCTCTCTAGCCTACCGGGAGGGGGGAGTGTTGCAGTGAGCCAAGATTGCGCCCATTGCACTCCAGCCTGGGCAACAGAAGTGAGACTCCGTCTCAAATAAATTAAATAAATAAATAATAAATAAAAATCTCTCTAGCCTGGGCAACATAATGAGGCCCATCTCTACTAAAAAAAAAAAAAAAAAAAAAAAAAGAAAAGAAAATAAAAAAATTTGCCGTGTGTGATGATGCATGCCTGTAGTTCTAGCTACTCGGAGGCCAAGCAGTAAGTGGTGGTCATGCCACAGCACTCCAGCCTGGGTGACAAAGCGAGATTCTGTCTCAAAACAAACAAACAAAACTCTAAAAAATCCTTCTGGCTGATGGGATTCTGGAGATAGGTGGTGGTGATAGTTGGATAACAAGATGAATGTTTTAAAGCTACCTAAACTATATATTTAAAAAAATTTTAAAGGTAAAATTTAAGTTATGTATACTTTACCACAATAAAAATATTTTAAAAGGCAGCAAAAAGACGCTGGGTGCGGTGGCTCAGGCTCTGTAATCCCAGAAACTTTAGGAGGCCGAGGTGGGCGGATTACCTGATTCAGGAGTTCCAAACCAGCCTGGCAACATGGTGAAACCCTGTTTTCTACTAAAAATACAAAATTAGCCAGCGTGCTGGCACATGCCTGTAATCCCAGCTCTCTTGGGAGGCTGAGATAGGAGAATCGCTTAAACCCAGGGGCGGAGGGTATAATGAGCCGAGATTGCGACCCACTGCACTCCAGCTGGGAGACAGAGCAAGTACTTCATAGGTCTCAAAAAAAGGAAGCAAAAGAAAGCATTGGTCATATATTTCATTATTCTTTAAGTGAAAATATATCCCTCTGGTAACTATGTAGAGAATAGTCTGGTTGTGGGGGTAAGAGGTACCAGGTAGAGCGTGGCAAAACAGTTAAGACTATTTAATTCATCTTCATAACAATCCTATGAAGCTTATATTGTTATCTTCATGTGGCAGATGAGAAACCCAAGGCTCAGAGAGGTTAAGTTACTTATCCAATGTCAGACAGTAAGCGGCAGTCCTGATGACTGTGAAGTTAAAATCATACTATTGTGCTCTCATTCATGCAATCTAGGCATGCCTGAACTTGCTTTTCTATCCTTATGTTACACTTACTGATTTATATCAAGCCTAAAGTCAAGCATATCACTCAAGTGGGTTTTGTGTAAGTTGCTAGGCTACACCATGCTGTGCTCTACTTGTGTCATGGTGTCTTTCATTCACGAGCATATTGTGTTGCTTTTTATTCCTACATTTTGTTTTGCTTGCCTGATTTCCCTCCATACATTTTCTATTCTTTTTTCTTTTTTTAGACTGAGTCTCGCTCTGTCGCCCAGGCTGGAGTGCAGGGGCACGATCTCGGTTCATTGCAAACTCTGCCTCCCGGGTTCACGCCATTCTTCTGCCTCAGCCTCCCGAGTGGCTGGGACTACAGGCTTCTGCCATCACGCCCGGCTAATTTTTGGTATTTTTAGTAGAGATGGGGTTTCACAGTGTTAGCCAGGATGGTCTGGATCTCCTGATCTCGTGATCCGCCTACCTTGGCCTCCTGAAGTGCTGGGATTACAGGCATGAGCCACCGCACCAGGCCTATACATTTTCTATTCTTTAGAGCAAGTCATAGCTCTTGTTTGTTTTTAAAGACCCAGCTTGAACCTCCAAAAGCTGATCTAAAATCTCCACCATCGTCTGTTTTGGACACTTTCCTTTTTTCCTCCTTTGGCACTATGCTTACTTGTAGCACTGTTGTCCAAGTCCTTGCAAGTAGGGATAAGGTGATCCTTATAGGATAATACAAGGTGCTGAGTGAGCCCTCCCTCGCTTAACAAACATTTGAGTGCTTACTTTAAGTCACAACTGCTCCAGGCTCTGGGGATACAGCAGCAAACACAACAGACAATTCCTGCCCTCGTGGAGCTTACACAAGCGTACGCGCACACACACACACGCACAAAGTAAATTTTATAGCATGTCAGGTGATACTACTGAGCAAACTAAAGCAGAAAAGGGGAAAAAGGAATGCTTGGATGGCAGAATTATAATATCAAACAAAATAGACATGGAGGGGCCTCATTGAGAAGGTAACATTTGAGTAGAATTACAGGAAGTGAGGGGATAAACCACGTGGCTATGCGGGGAAAGTCCTTTCCAGGTAGAGAGACACAGGCAGTGCAGGTAGGAGAGAAAACTAGCAGAAATGCCCGCAAACCTGGAATAGAGCCAGACGGGGCAAACTACAGATAAAGTCAGTAAGGTAGTGGGAATGAGACCATATGAGGTCTTGGGCTTTTACTGTGAGTTAGAAGCTACTCTACGGTTTGGGGCCTACAAGACATAATCTATTTTTAATAGTAATACATATTTGCTGGCCGAGCGCAGTGCCTCACGCCTGTAATCTCAGCACTTTGAAAGGCTGAGGTGGGTGGATCATCTGAGGTCAGGAGTT